GGGAGGGGCAGAGAGAGAGGGGGAGAGAGAGAGAATCCCAAGCAGTCTCTGCACTGTCAGTGTAGAGCCCCATGTGGGGCTTGAACGCATGAACCTTGAGATCATGACCTGAGCCCAAATCAAGAGCCGGATACTTAAGCAGCTGAGCCATCAGGCGTCCTCTGAGTACATATATCTTTACACCAGGAGATACTTGGGTGCATAAGATTTCATCCTTGACCCAAGAAGCTTATGAATATGAAGGAGAAGCTAGACTGTTCATGAATATTGTTAAACAATACATGATGCTTTATTTACCCAAGAAACATTTCCTGAGCACCTACCATGGTAAGTACAAAACACTCTGGGATGGTGCTTGGAGTGCAGTGGGTGCAGTTTCCTCTCAGGGCACCATCTTTACATATGTGGGACATCCCTACATAGAAGCCATAATCAGGATGGGTTGAAAGCAGAGCTGTGGGCCATGTGACAGTCCACAGCCCCAGATCCACCCTCACCCCCTTGGTCCTGTGCTTCCAAAGACAAAAACAAAAGATATTTCTATTAGGAAAACGGTGGTGGTGCTTCTCTTCCCTCTCCCTTTCTCTCTCTTTTAAGACGTGATAATCAGTCAGGATTCACTCTGTTTACAGTTTGACTACTTCATAGAAAAATGTGTCTATAAAACACCTGGTAGTTGTAAAAAGGCTTGGGTAAGGCCCAGGGAGCCAGATAAATATATGTTATTTATTCAGCTGTCCCAAGCCATTACCAATCTCCTTACACCCAAGGGCTGTCTGTCCTCTCCTAAGTTTTATTTCTAATATTTTCAATACAAAGTCAGGTTTAAAAACAAAAACAATAAAAAAAAAACAAAAAAAAAACAGGAAAATCAAAGCCTTACCTCCCTGAAAAACTATCAAGTACAAACATTCTTCATGGCATTTCAGGCATAGTCTGATACCCCGAACCAGAAAAGATGGTTGCAAATGCATTTATCCAGTGAAGCAAACATAGTCGATCTAAGTAAATGTTACTGGTCAATGCCGTTCAGCAAGTATCCCCTAAGCACCTATGGTGGACCTGGCTCATGCTTTAAGTGCACAGAGGACACCAGAGATTCTGGCATGTTCTCCAAGCCACATCATCAGAGTAAATGGTGAGCACACTGCCTGGCCCCCACCTGCAGACAGCCCCACAGTGGGCTTTGAAGTTGCTCTTTGCTGTTATCTAATCTCCAAAACTGAACCCTAATCCTGACTTCTTCCTTTCAGTGACTTTTCCAAGATAAGTTATGTTCACCTACTCAAATGCATCACCATGTGCATTTTTAAAAGTTTGTTTGTTTGTTTGTTTGTTTGTTTGTTTGTTTGTTTGGAGAGGAGAGGAGAAAACCAGCAGGGGAGGAGCAGAGAAAGGGGGGCGGGGACAGAGGATCCAAACGGGATCCAAAGCAGGCTCCGCACTGACAGCAGAGAGCCTGATGTAGGGCTCAAACTCATGAACCACAAGATCATGCCCTGAGTGAGCCACCCAGGCACCCCTCACTGTGTGCATTTTTAAAGGCTTTAATCTTCATTTCATTCACTCAAATTCTGATCAGGCAGCTTTCCACAGAGAGGTAGTGTCCTGCCCTACTAATTGTAATATAATTTTAGAATGGACTAAGTTGAAATCCCTTCTAGGCAGGATCCCTAAAGAGAGGATATTTCCATTGAAGATACATGTGGAATTTTGTTTTTTGGGCAAAGGAGAAGGGACAGCACCTGAAGAGGTATCCCAAACAATGAGACATGTGGGGAAAAGCTCCAGTGGAGAGAGAAGTTAGAAGGGGTTGTGCCATACTTAAAAGTGATATTTTTCTAATCAGGATGGAGAGCCTGACACATGGTCTGAAAACAGAACAGATTATTTGAAATCTGGGATGTATGATCACCATCTTCACAGTAAATGAAGCCAGCAGCTGTTCAGAGTGAAAGTCATTAACAAGGAGTCTCTGTACACTGAGGGATCCAGAGGAGTGGATGGGAGGCCGACTGATGTCATCCATTTACAAGCCAGAGCTTCATCACACAAAACAAAGAGCCTTTGTTACCCAGGGTTTCCTGGAACCACTTGCTGTCATCACCTTGTCTGCAAAGACAGAGGTGTAATCTACTCACCAAAACACAATGAAGCTTTGCTTCCAAACGACACAGTCTGGGAATGCAAAATACAAGAAGCAGGGGCAAGCACAGGACAGATTGTCAGCTGTCCTTTACTTGTTCAGTTCTTAAACTGATTTCAAATATCATACTATTGTTTTTAATTAAATCCTCATCACTCTGCTTTCTAATCTGGTGCATTCAATTTGAAACTTGGGAACTGTTTTGTTGCAAAGGAGGAGATTCAGAAATTCCAATTTTCCTACTTAATAAGAATGTTATGTTCAGCATAACATGAGAAAAGCTTCCCTTTGTTGCCAACACTCAAAGTCAACGCTTAGTTACGTACTTGAGGAATAATCCTTGGAAAATATTTTAACTCCAATTGCTATCACCAGTATAGAAGTTTCTAGGCTTCCATCTCTACTTTTTAAGTTGTCACGCACTTTTTCAACTTATATCTTATCAACAGCAGATTTTACTTAAAATAAGACATCATAGTTTATTCTGACCATTCAATGTTTTGTGCTATCTGTATCATCATTTTAGTTCTCTTAGAATAGATAAGAAAGACTTTGACTTTATGGGAAACTCAAGGTCAATGTGTATAATAGGTGTTTTTTTTCCCCCGTCTCTTTCTGCATCAGGGCTTTAAATAGTAAACAGAAACACAAAAGAGATTTATTTGAATATAACTGGTATATCAATTGTTTATAGCTAAAATCAACTAAAAGTGGATTAAATTTACAATCTCACATAATAAGAAATCCAGAGGTGTGGCATTTGCTAGTGGTTTCCTATTTCAGTGGCTCAATGCCTTGCTGAGGACTCTTCCCACATTTCCATCCCATCATCCAAGGTGCACTGGTATTAAGCCTCAAATTTGGCTAACAGCTTACAGGAAGTACATGAAATGGAAGAACTTGTTAAATACCACCACAGGGAAGTAGTCAGCAAAATCCAGAAGAGATCAAGGAAATTTAAACCTGACTGGATACTTGATGATATTGAAGAATTTTTGTCAGTATCTTTAGGAGTGATAAATGTATTATAGGTACATTTTTTTAAAGGAGTCCATATCTTTTAGAGACACACGCTGAAATATTTATAGCAGAAATGATATGATATCTGAGTTTACCTCAAATGCCTCAAAACAATCCAGTGGGAGTGGGGAGTGAGGATGGGGGAATGACAGGCTGTGAATACTAGTAACTGGGAAGCTGGGTGATATGCACATGGGGGCTCATTATACAGCTCTCTCTGTTTTCTGTTCCCTGTTTTTAATAGAAATTTTTATATATTTAATTTTTTAAAACAACAAATGAGAAAGGAGTATAAAGAAGAAAAAAGGAAGGGTCAGGTAAACAATTCTCCTAACTAGTCAACCATTTGGGCCAATGAACCTCTACTGGGCTTTCACGGTCCAGGGCAGGAACTGACTGTGACATGCACCTGGGTCTTCTGGGAATGGACCGTCTGCTTCTGCAGAGTGGCCTCACCAAGGATGTCTCAGGGAATACTCACAATAGCAGTCTGGGAGTAAGTACTCCTGCTATCTGCATTATTATTATGAGAAAATGGAGAAAAGCCTTCCTGACTATTCTAAAGTAAGTACTCCTCCAAAAAGTAACAATCCCATTGAAATAAGTGTTATTAGGCCACAGTGTTAATTCTAGCCCATGTGGTCCTAAAGAAAATATTTTTAGACAAAAATAACATTCTAGTGATGTTTCATTGCCATTAAAGTTAGTGTCTGAAGCCTTACAGTTGTATGTTCATGTTCAGTAAAGCCTCTGTTTATTTTGAGAAGGTATAAATCTAGTGCACTTAGAACCAAGAAACTTATTTTTTAAACTTCATTTGCTTGCTATAAATGACAGCAAAACCAAAAATCAAACCTCTTAACAGACATAAGCCAATTTTGACCCAACATGACTTCATTATCCCAACCCTCCAAAAAAACAAATACAAAACATACCCACCCACATGCACACACACACTAAACAGCACAGGCCAGTATTCAAACTCCCCCCCCCCACCAAAAAAAAGAGTGATGAAGACAACCTCCAAGCTCCAGACTATCTGTAAAAGATCCATGAGCATTGTCCCCAGTAAGGCCTCTAAACAACATAGGACAAAACTGTAGTCTGATACATTTAACTATTTTCCTAGCTATATCTAAGCAGCTCCCAGACTTTTCTCTGAGTCATTTTGAAACCAGCTCACAAAAAACTAGTTTGGTTCTCTCTTGGACCAGGATGAAATAGTGACCAGAAGTGAAGAAAAGTTGGGATGCAAATTGCCCAGCAAGACCCATAAGAGGCTGAAGGATATACTGTTTATCTTTGGTATATTTCTACCTCCACGATCTTCTAACTTTCTGGCTCTGTCACTCTTCATCTCCTACGTAGGCTTATACTATGCTCATGTTCCTCTAGCTCCCCCAAACCTTTCTCATTTCTTCCCTCTCTCTAAATTTTCAGTGCTCCCAAATTCAATTACAAATTCCCAAATCAAGGTTTCAATTACAGCAATATGTAATAAAACATTACTAGAATAATAGATTGTCCCATCCCTCTGAGCCATCTTCCATCAAAATTCTAATTCCCATACTCTTCACGTGCTGATCTAACCTAGAAGCTAGGATTAAAGCTACTCCATTTAATAGACATTCTCAGCTACCAGCTCACAGTCCTAAGGGTCTATCATCCTCATATATTCTCTCATCAGAATGCTCAGAGGGAGCATCTTCAAGAGGTGGATATAAAGATGACTTCAATAACAGAAGCTACGGAGGTGATACAGAGAAGAGAAAAGGTTTCAAGCATGCCTGATCATTCTAATGTGCTTTAATGTAATAAAAACTCCCAATTAAAGGTGTAGCCTAGTAAAAGTGTTTGGGAATGAGGGTGATACCAATTACTCAAGGTACTGGTAGGTTTTGTTCTTCTTCCTTGATGAAAATTTTGTCATGAAAAAAAAAATCAAGCCTCAGGCTTGTGACAAGGCTTGTCACAATGCACGTGACAAGGTTCATGTAATTTAGAGTGTTCCACAAAAGTTTTTTTCCTTCTGGGGAGCAGAGGTGGCTCATGAATTCCCCTGTCCTCTTTTTATGCCCCTGCTGAGATAATATGGAAATATTTTAAACTATTGGACTTTCAGACAGAAATATATCTTAGAAGAGTAGCCTCCAAACCTTACTGATCATCAAGAACACCCCGGGGACTTTTTTAAGTAAATATTTTTATCTCCCCCCTGCCCTACTAAATCAGATCCTCAGCCAGGGTGGGAGAAGGTAAAGGACTGGGTTAGGAATGTTTTCACAGTGCACATGTAATTCTAACAATCAGTCATGTTCAGGCACTACTTTGAGGAGGTACCACCCAGTACCTCCTAAGTCATACCACTTACCTGCTCGGAACCATAGAGGAGGGAAGAAAAGCCTCTGTGAGCCCTACCCTGCTTCCCACCTACCTGGCAAAGTGCATCACTTCCCTGTTCTCAGAGCCCTATAATCTAGGCCACCCAACTCAAGATATTCATACTTCCGTGTATGCAATTCCTCCTACAGACAAAAAGAAAATAAAATACACTTATCAACACCCTAAGTATCAATCAACCTTTCAAGTAGCTAATTTCATTACCTAATGATGATGTCCTTGTCAGGTTGGCATCAGCACCAATTTGTGGTTGAAGAAGTGGGCTGAGACTGTGTGTAATTTTGCCAGGTTCCCTGTGATTAGTCAGAGAGGGCAGATTAGGGACCCAGTGCTGTTGGGCAGGATGGATTATTGATATAGTCACTTGTGCCCTGTTCTTTTTCTTTCTTTTTTTTTATGTTTATTTATTTTTGAGAGAGAGAGACAGACAGACAGACAGAGCATGAGTGGGGGAGGGGCAGAGAGAGTGGGGGAAAAGAATCTGAAACAGACTCCAGGCTCTCAGCTGTCAGCACAGAGCTCGACACGGGGCTCTAACTCACGGACCGGACCGCGAGATCATGACCTGAGCTGAAGGCGGATGCTCAACTGACTGAGCCACCCAGGCGCCCCTAGTGGAGATTTGTTTGATCAAAAGAAAAGGTACTATACCCCTTCTTTTCCTCTCTGGACAGAAACCTAGCTTTTTGTTGGGAGGCTCAGAAGACTCTTATGCTCAGGTATAAGAGCTTTAAGAACTTCTTTGTGTTTCGAAAGCTATCCTAGAAAAAGCCCCAACCAGGACTTTGAGAGTTCTTGTCTCTTCAAGAAAAGAAGCCTAAATTACCCTAAAAAGAGAGAAGAGGCAAGGCAGTGTTTCACAGGGAAGACAGACAGGGCTCTACCCTGAGAAGATGGACTCCCAGAGGCTGGAGGGAAGTGTGGACAATTATTGTACCCGAGTGTATAGAGCAGTTCAGACTTTTCCACTCCATCACAGTTGCAAAGGGCAAAGAATATGCCACCCTCAAGCAAACTCAGGCACTTGTTCCATCTTAAAACTTGACTTCTGGGGAACCCCAGAAAGGGAAAAGGAACTAACATGCACTTTACACCTGTAGTGGACCAGGAATGTTTACCCCCATGGCCCAGGGAGTCCTGAGAGCCTTCACAGGGTGTCGAGCAGATGGCAGCCCTACCAGGCCGTTTTTCCTCTTCTTCCCCATCCCCTGCAGCTAGCTACCAAGATGCATAGAAAGCTGTCCTTGTGTACAGACCCCTTGGGGGTCATACTGGGAAATCTTAGCTATCTAAGCACGTGGAATGTGGTCATCTGCTTACAAGTTCATGGCTTATAATGCATTTGGTTGTTTATCAAAATAAAAACCAAACAGAATGAGTAAAAGAAACCGGCGATGAGAGAGCACAAACTGTATGTTCCGTTTACATGAAGTTCAAAAATAGACTAAACTCGTCTAATGATAGTGGTTGGTACAACAGTTACCTTTGACTGGGAGTGGGGCCCAGGGAGCCTTCTCGAGGGCTAGAAACTTGCTATATCTTGATCTGGATGGTGATTTCACAGGTGTGTACATATTTGAAAATTCACTGAGTTATACACTTAAGATATGTGCACTTTACTGTTATATAAATATCACCTCTGCAAAATAAATAAAGCAAATAAGCCAACAAACACAGACAAAACAATAACCTACAAAGACCTGCTAGATCCAACTTGCCTATTGCCGGGACCATTTAGTGGTCCTCTTACTGGACCTCTTACTGACTCAATCCTTTCCCAATTCCTAAAATTAATCTGGCTCCTTTACCCCATAAATGCACAGGGAATTTAAAGAGCCAGAGAAGAGCATTTAGCCCAAGAGTCCTCACCCATGGGGTAAACTGTAGCATGGTGTGTAGATGCAGAGATGACAGAGCCAGACTGCGCAGGTTCAAATCCCTGCTCTGCCACTTAATGGGTAAAGCCTTAAGCAGCTTACTTAAATTCACTATTCCTCAGTTTCCTGATCCATATTAATAGGCTTTATAATGAGGATTAAACAAGATTAATCGATATGAAAGCACTCAGTAAATACCCAATATTACTACATGCCAAGCCCACGGTAAGCACTTTACCAATCTTATCTTCGTTTAATCCTTGCAGCACCCCTGCCTGCTAGATGGTGTTGTCCCCCATATTACAAGTGCAGAAACTGCAGCTCACAGAGGCTAAACTTGCCTAGGTTACACAGTTAGCAATGAGCAGGGGCGCCCGGGTGGCTCGGTCGGTTAAGCGTCCGACTTCAGCTCAGGTCACGATCTCGCGGTCCGTGAGTTCGAGCCCCACATCAGGCTCTGGGCTGATGGCTCAGAGCCTGGAGCCTGCTTCTGATTCTGTGTCTCCCTCTCTCTCTCAGTCCCTCCCCCATTCATGCTCTGTCTCTCTCTGTCTCAAAAATAAATAAACGTTAAAAAAAATAAATAAAGTTTATTTACATTAGCAATGAGCAAATCGGGGTTTGAATCCAGGTCTATCTTTTCTTTTCCTGTTAAGAAGCTTCCCTGATGCTTACCTGGATCCTCCCAATACCTGTGTTCCACCTACTCCCTCTTGGACTTCCCTAGGGCTAACCCATCATGAATCTGCATTTCTACTATTACATGCTGCTGAAACTGGACTACATAGCCCACTCTTCAGGGAACTTTCTAGTCTTTTGGATTCTGAGCCCCCAAGTACAGAATAATCAACCTAAATAATAGGCAATGATTGGATCAAGATAGTGAACTGAGCTCGTAAGACCATGTCCCGTTCCACCCCAATTTTCATACAACGATGGAGTCAGGAGGCATGTGGATGGGTCAGCCAGTTGAGCATCTCTTTTTTTTTTTTTTTAATTTTTATTTATTTATTTTGGGAGAGAGAGAGAGAGAGAGCACGAGCAGGGGAGGGGCAGAGAGAGAGGGAGAGAGAGAATCCCGAGCAGGCTCTGTGTTGTCAGAGCAGAGCCCTACAAGGGATGAACCGTGAGATCATGACCTAAGCTGAAATCAAAAGTGGGGTGCTTAACTGACTGAACCACCCAGGAGGCCCTGAGCATCCAACTCTTGATCTCAGCTCAGGTCTTGAGCTTAGGGCCGTGAGTTCAAGCCCCATTGGGCTCCAGGCTGGGCATGAAGCCTACTTAAAAAAAAAAAAAAAAATGACAAGGGGAAAATGTTTTTAAAGAAGAAATCCACACAGCTCTGGTAAACAAGAAAGGGTACTACTATCAGAAAAAATTTGAAATATCTGGAAGATAGAAGTTAAATGAAATCAACACTGACAAGCATGAAGCAAAATTACATCCCAAGAACTGGCTACAGAATACAAACTAAGTAAGTGATTAAAATGGGAATGGGAAGGTAAGAAAAAATCCAGAGAGATTACAAATTCAGAGGGACATTTGCAATAATAGAGAAAAAGGCTCTGAATCAACCATGAGGATAATTTACTAAAGAAGTGGATCCAGAACATGGGCCCATTGCCTTCCTATGTCCCCAAACTGTGACAGAAAGAAAAACATCAGTAGTGTTTGGCCTGGGGAGGGAACAGAAAAGCAGGAGGACAAGGTAACTCTATAAGGAAGAAAATGTGCACAGTCTGCCACCGGAGCAAAACTTTACTTTACTTACTTTAGCATCATGGCAGGGAAATAGCGCAAACGTATGGTGTATTGGCTTTCTGTTGCTGTCATAACAAAGTTCTAAAGCTTGGTGGGTTAATACAATACAAATTCATTACTTTACAGTTCTGTAGGTCAAAAGTCCCAGGCTAAAACTGAGGTGTCAGTACTCTTTTTTGGAGACAAGGCGAGAATTTGAGAATTTGTTGTTTTGCATTTTCCAGCTAGTAGGGGCCACCACATGCCTTAGCTCATGCCCCCTTCTTCATCCTCAAAGACAGCAGTGCCACATCTCTCTGACTCTTCCTCCATAGTCACAGCTCCTTCTGATGACAGCTGCAAAAGTTTCTCCACTTTAAAGGAATCACCTTAATAATTGGGCCTACCTCCATAATCCAAGATAACCACCCTTTGTCAAATTATTTAATTTGTAAAATCGCTTTTGCCATATAAGGGAATATGTTCACACATTTTTCTGCCTACCACATGTGGTTATTGGGTACCTGGCAGATAACCCTGCTTTCTGGTTTGGCAGTTGGAGTACTGGCTGTTCTAGCTGGAACCTGAATCTGGGGTGATACTCACAAAGGCTGGCAGCTATGACTGAACCAGGCTATTCTAGTGGAGTACCCTTGGCTGCGGCCCCCTGGGTTCCTACTGGTTTTCCAAGCCCGATGTTCAGCCTTCCAGTCAATTCTGTGAGCTACTCACTAGCCAGCCAATAAATTACTTTTCTGCATAAGTTAGCCAGAGCTAATTTCTGCTACTTATAATCAAGAATTCTGGGGGGCCTAGGTGGCTCCGTCGGTTAAGCATCTGACTCTTGATTTTGGCTCAGGTCATGATCTCACAGTTTGTGAAGTCTGAACCTCATTTCCTCGCTTCAGACTCTGCGCTGACAGTGGAGGCTGCTTGGGATTCTCTCTCTCCCCGCTCTCTCTCTGCCCCTCCCCTGCTCATTATCTCTCTCTTTCTCTCTCTCTCTCAAAATAAATACATAAACTTAAAAAAAAAAAAGAATTCTGACTGATACAGAATTCTCTTAAATACAGAGAACTGGTGATTGCCAGAGAGGAGGTGGGTGGGGGATGGGTGAAACAGATAAAGGGGGTTAAGAGGTATAATTTTCCAGTTATAAAATAAATAAGTCATAAAGATGAAAAGTATAGCTTAGGGAATACAGTGAATAATATCATAATAATGTTGTATGGTAACTACACTTAACTGTGCGTGGTGAGCATTGAGAAATGTACAGGATTGCTGAATCACTTTGCTGTAATCACTAATACAACATGGTATGTTAATTACAGTTCAATAAAAAAAAAAAGATAAGTTAAGGCAACATGTTCTTTTCTGAAACTAGAATTTGATTTATGATAATACATTTCTAGAGATCTACAAAGAACTTGGAAGGAACAAATTCAAAGCAGTTATTTAAAAACTTTATGAATGTTTCATATAAATATAAGAAAAATATCATTTATTCATAACAATATATATGTATTCATAACACTACATAGTAACTTCTAGATTTGTAAATTTAAAGTGATGTGATTCAATAAAGGTGTTCAGGTTAAAATCATTAAACACAGAGAATAAACTGGTGGTTGCCAGAGGAAAGGTGGGCGGGGGATGGGTGAAATAGATATAAGGGATTAAAAGTACAAATTCCAGTTATGATATAAATGAGTCATGGAAATGAAAAGCACAGCATAGGGGAATATAGCCAATAATATTGTAACAATGTTGTATGGTGACAGATGGAGACTACACTTATCATAGTGAGCACCAAGTAATACACAGAATTGTCAAATCATTATGTTGCACACCTGAAACTAATACAATACCGTATGTCAATCATACTTAATGATAAAGATACAATAAAATAAAAATTGTAATCTAAAAATGAAAGAAAGGGGCGCCTGGGTGGCGCAGTCGGTTAAGCGTCCGACTTCAGCCAGGTCACGATCTCGCAGTCCGTGAGTTCGAGCCCCGCGTCAGGCTCTGGGCTGATGGCTCAGAGCCTGGAGCCTGTTTCCGATTCTGTGTCTCCCTCTCTCTCTGCCCCTCCCCCGTTCATGCTCTGTCTCTCTCGGTCCCAAAAATAAATAAACGTTGAAAAAAAAAATTTAAAAAAAAAAAAAATGAAAGAAAAAAGATTTCCGACTAATAAAAAATATTCTACACCCATTTATCTTTAAGCAAATGCTTCCTGAGGACAGTCCTCACCTACCTATCTAGAATTTATGTCAGATTTTGCATTCAGAGGAAAGGCCTGTCAAATAGCACACTCACACAAAAGCAGATAAAATCCATGCCACTTATGTTTAGTAATCGACCTAGTTCTTCCTTTTGTAAAAGTATAACACCGAATCACCAGACATCAAGGAAAACCAACATCATGGGAATCTAATAGACAAAACAAGAGAACAAACAGACCTGACTGGAAAGAAAATAAGATCAGAATAAAATTTTCATCTTAAGAAGAAGGCGGATGAGGTTCATGTGGTATATTCAGGAATATTTGGGAATATTTTGCCTACAAACCACAAGAGCATTCAGAGAGTAAGTTACTGG